TGCCCCGGCACGAAGTGGTTAATCTTGCTTGAAAATTTGAACTTGCTTAGTGCAAATTGGTGTAAGGTAATTAAAACGATGGTTTTTAAGTGGTGTAGGCAATGACTTAATCAAATATCCTCAAGTTATGCTCTGAAGTGTGCTCAATCACGACAGCCTGTCAACTGTAAACTGGAAAAGTTGCCTGTCTGTGGCAAACTCTTGGTGGCGCACTGTATTGTGAACCGCCCGTATTCTTAATGCTTTAATAGGCCTTCGGTTGGTTTGGTTAATATTCCGTTCTAAATTAGTGTGATCTCTGATAAGGCAATACCTGCACACTTGCTTCACTGGAGTCAAAAAACTTGGGGTTGATCTTCTTGCTGATGATCTGGGTACGGATGACATCCTTGGTGGTTAGACATAACCGCATCTGCTCCAGGATAAAATCGACCTTCTCTGTGCGCTCCATGGAGCCAAATGTTTCCACCTGAGACAGCCCAAGAGACAACACTTTTTTTTTACAAATCAAATCAGTTACTGGAGAAAGGGGGATAATTACATTACCATCAAAGATACCACACTAGTGGCTTGAAGCCATGCTCTGCGGTATTGCTAGCCTCCAGTGTTGTAGATGAGACCATCTACAAGACTGGACTCAAGCCCAGTCACCAGAACAGTCACAAATAATGGGACGAACAATAAGGAATTCTTTGGTTGCACTTCTGAATGCTTGTGACTTCCCTGACGGTGCATGGTTATGCGTACGACTTTTTCCAGATTTTGTTTTCTCCACAAATTAGAAAAAAACAGAACAGTCTGATTTTTAGGTGTCGAAAATCGGAGCAGTTCCAATTAAATTGCAACAGTTGGCAGGCATGCTATTGGCCTTACATGTACCAGTATTTCAGCTGGACTGCCGTCAGTAGCCCATTAATAAAAAAACAAACTACATGTACATACATGTAGTGGCTTGTTTTGCACTTATGTGGCAATCTGTAACGGTGGTGCTACTAACAATTTCAAGTCTGGGCCACATGGCTGCAAATCACCATTTTCAAGAAATGAGTATGTATCGTTTCGGCGTCCAATAAATGCAATGATGACTCCACTGCAGCAGTATTGCATGTTGGAACCCTGTGGGGGGCCTATCGACTTCTTGAGAAAGACACTGTACAAGTACTGCTTTTTCTCTGCAGGATACATACAGTACACGTACCTGTAGGTATCTGTATAAAAGGTAGACTGTGCCAATCTGGGACTGATGCATAAATTACAATAACTTTGATCATGATGCAATTAAAAGGGGTTAGATGGGGATAAATGTGAAGCTCTCTAGAAGCACTGATATCAAGTATAAATGTACCAACCAGCATGTACTTGTTCAGTTGTTACTAGCACAGCAAATGCAGTATTTATTCTATTATTAGTTTTACAATTCTGTTCAAAAATATTACTGATTTCTTAAAAGTGCCAGTAGTACTGTACATGTAGCTCGTCCCCTCCAGAAACTTGTCAAAGACAGAAAAATTAATTAATACATTTACTCAGTTTCAGAAGTGGGAGGAAACCCAGGGGATAGATGACAAGTATATTCAGGAGGATTAAGAACCCAATCCACATGTCGACATGGGTGGGATATGAACCCAGGTCACAGAGCTGGAAGGTAAGGGAAATGCCGCTGTACCAACTTGGCTACCCTCAGCAAAGTACTTACTTGCAGTTCCTGTAAGATGGTAGCTGCCTCTGTGATATCACCCTGATCTTCCTTGATCTTGGCGAGTGTCATGGTCAGACGAGCTCGCTCAATTTCCACATAGATCTGAAAACAATACGTGAAAAATGCCTTGGTGACATGTCCTTCCAGATCAAATTCTTGTCAAGACGATATGTGACTGAACAAAGTCATTGATGGAAGCCGGATTTGAGCCATCGATCTTGACACCTTCTGCATGTGGGAGTTACATGCTTGACGTCTTCCAGGGAAATTATCAAGGCATCCTGAATTCTGTGCATGTTACACGGCCTGAAATCATACCAGATCACTTGGCAACAGCAACCAGTGTTCTCCAGGGCTGTTTTAGCAGGGCGGACCGCCCTGACAAAATTTTGGGCTGCCCCGCTAAAATTTTGCCGCCCTCCTAAAATTTGCCTGCTATTTTTTGAGCAGTGTATTTTTCCCAGAATGTCTACTTTCTCAAGTTTTTAATAAAAAGAGTTTTGCCGCAGTTTGTGGATCAAGTTTGAATTTACCGACAACGCTTATGATGCACTGACGGCGGTGATCGTTGGCTGCCTACCATTATGCATAGTCAATCTTTGTGTCCTGAAAAACCATCGCGTATGTTTTGTACATGTACACGTACATTGTATTGTGCAAGCATGTACATGTACACCCAGTGCATGTGACTGGTACCTGCGGGGCAACATTGTCTTGCGGGGTTTATGCGGGTGCCAGTGGAAGGACCGTGCCATGCCTGAGTGGCACCCACGCTCTGCTCCGATGGAGGGATTGCTTCATTTTTATGATGTGAGCTGGAAATTGTAAACTTATCTTTGCCTGAACATATCTTTTTTGGCTTTTTTTTTATTCAAGGGCACATTTTGAGGCTTGTTTTTACTCTGCCTTATCACAGTCAACTGATCATTGAGAAAACCGCATGCTCTGCTCATCTCAAACATGTCTTGAGTCACTAACATGAGGTTCTGCTAAAAATGCTCCGGAAATTAAAATAATTTTGTCATCAAATCTTCCGATGAAGAAACTCCTCCTGGAGAATATCCTAGCCAATATTCCACGTTGTAAATGCAATCAGATTTGGGGCCAAATTACAGACCAGAGTGGACTGGAAATTGCCCCAGAATGCACCAAAGGGCATCTGGAATCCAAAATTAAGGTAAGGGCTTCACGCTCGCAATTTTGTCTACCGCCCTGCGAAAATTTTCGACCTTGGAGAACACTGAGCAACATTAACAACGTTCCACATGTGTTGACTTCACTATACACATGTACATGTAGACCTTTTTCACCCGCGTGACTAAATGTAAAGAATATTACCACGTGTGGACTGCCTTGTATTCCTATGGGCAGTTTCAACTGTGTGCAAGTGCTAGTGTGAACGTTGCATGCTTGACTGGTTTATCTTGAGTACAGTAGGTACTGTAGATTACTATCACAACACTATGCACTCATTACCATCACAACACATCATACATGTACATGTAGGTTCAGCAGGATTGTGACATCACAGGAAAAAGGTCTATTGGAAATGACTGGAGATGTGCAGACAATGGACCTCGCTCTGGAAGCCCATGTTGGACACAGCTTTAAAATAAAGTTTCAACCATGCATTTGACGTGCCTGTAAGACAGATAGGTGAACCAGTAGACCAAATTTCGAAATTGTTTACAGCAATATGTGTATTTCACCCGTCAGTAACTTAAGAGAAGGAGGGTGTTGATTAGTCTACTAGTAATGTTATACACAGTGCCAAAGCAAGGCAATGTCAGATGCACAAACTGATAAAATTCCTGTGATTTACAGAAACTTTAACACCAACACTCGAAATGCATTATGAGTTCTTTAACCCTAACACTCCTCAGTCCTCCAACAGGCGAAGGATTGAGGAGGGTTAGGGTTAATAGCTGTGTGAAGTTGGCCATACATGTACGTACCTTGCCAGCGGTGACTGTCCTGAGCGTGTCTATTAGTTTCAGCTTCGTCTCCAAATCGGGCGTTTTTTCAACGTAGCTGCATGCCTCTTGTACCATCTTCACTACGGCCTACGCACGGAAACAAAAGTTGCCGAAATAGTCCAAGGTCTTGAGTACTTACACCTGTTGCCCTTCACTCACTCGCAAGGAATGCAAATGGGTATGACTGGAAATTAGGCCTGTTTGATACCTGTTTTTACCTAAACCGACAAAAAAACTCACTGTTGCGTCAGAAGGTCATGCATAAAATAAAGTCTGACAATCACATTGTCCAATCCCCAAAGTGCTGCACTGGCCTAAAGATACTGTATGTCAGGTGAATCCAACTTGAGTCTGTCTCCAGTCTATTTTCTTAGCCCTTGACCCAGTAGAAAACTAAATTGTTACCTCAAAACAGCTAATCATTGTGAATTTTGAAGCATTTTTCACATGCGAAAATAAAGCCAACAAAAACATGGTGGTACGCACTGCACTGGTTACCATTGAACCATGGCTTGTTACCGTCAAAGGTGTATATATATAGTCAAGATGTCCAGTCAGATGGAATGAAACCAACAAAGTCAAGTTAAGCTGCCAAGTAAACTACATGTACATGTACCGAGCGCGTCCGCCTGCACATTTGCCCACATGGAAATTTCCAACACAATTGGAAGTTAAGACCAATTGGCAGCACAAGCAAGGAGCGGTGACTGGTGGCAATAGGTTAAAAAAACTGTAAATAATAGTTCATACATGTACATACATGTATGTAACAAGAATTTGTCAGAGTCATAAATTTCCTTGGGAATTTGCTTTGAGAACAGATCGTCATTAGGCGAGGGCAATACATACAGCTGCGCTAATGCAATTGCGCTAGGATAACTGCAATAACCATAAAAAAATTCAGTGGAATTAACTGGAATAAAGTTAGTCCCTGTACATCTTTGGGAATTCATACATGTATCATCAGATACAACATGCACTTTATAGTTGAATGGCTGAGCAGCTTTCTTTTTTAATGTGGTGCAGTGCTGTAAACATGGTAAAGAACCAATTATCGGTATCTTAACACCGAATGCACTTGGCGACAACCTCCATTTTACATACATGTACATGATGCATATGTAAATTGGGTTATGACACGTACAGCTGTACATGTATATGTACATGTATGTGTGCCAAAGTCATATTTTCCCAACTTCATGTCACTGCTACTTTGCGTGGAGTTACTGGTATTTGAAGTTTTGGTATTAACATTCAACAAACTGCCAACAGCGTTCTATTGACTGAAGTGTGATCTTAGTGACAAACATGACCTTCCTGAACCCTCAAAACTACAAGGACACTGTGATTAAATGTTCAAAATGGGCAAACGAAATGTGTCTTGCGCATCACTGACAAGACCGGATGACTGGTATGGTCAGTACTCAGTCCGGCCAACAGCCCCTTGTATGCAGGCACCTGCAGTCCAAACTGGAAAAATCTGTACTGTGCAATGGCCCGTATCCAGATACATTAATGCATGTGGGGCACAAAGGAAAACTACCTGACAGACCCAGTGTAATTAATGCAATAAAGCTAAGTGTGGTGGAAGAATATAGGCAACTTTTTTTCAGGTACATGTAAATTGGACTGCTTAATATTTCAATATATTGTATAACAAAAGGTGCAATTCAATTTTCGCTATGAGAAAAATATTGCACATTATGCAGGGTTCTCCGCAGGATTTTTCAAAATTGTGGGGGATTTCAGTTGTGGTTTACCAACATTCTGCGAAGCCATGGCGTGGGGTCAAGAATCTAAACTGCTGCCAAAGTTTTGGAACAGCCCATTGGCACATGTACATTGTAGTATCTTATCACTCAGTCCATGTTTTAGATAAGTCTTAAATGGAACAGCCGTCGAGACGATGAGGGGTCAAGTGACATAATGTTCAACAACCTGTGGTGCACAATGCATGTACTGGGTAGCCTACCGATAGTATGTACAAGTACACGAAAAAATGCAGGACTATTAATTGCTCATTCGTCTCGATTTTCCGGACATGCAATCGGCAATATGTAAAATAATTCTGAGCAATACTATTATCATTATATTGTGCATATTGGGGATCAAAAAATGGATATCGGCCCGTTTTTTGCCTATCAGGCAGAATTGCGTATCGGGCCCGATATGCAAGTTTGTACATGGGAGAACCCTGTTATGATTATTTTGATATCAAATGGGCCTACTGGAAATGATACCCATTTTCTTAGTACCCTCAAAATGCATTCACATGTATGGTAACTGTAAAGTTGGCAATCTGGAGCAATAAGCTATGGGCCTTGTATGCACAGAGCCTTTGTCAGCCTCATTGACCTTTAAGTACCTGCTTCAGCTGACTACGCCTTTTGGTCAGAAGGAGTATGTTCTCATTCAACAGACCCCACTCCTTCGCCTCGTAACACATGCTGACGATGGCTACCAAGATCCGTGCTGTGGAGTGCATGTCTGCTGCCTAAGGAGCATACAAAGCAAGAAAACGGTTGTTACAGGTAACTTTGTCGTAATTTTCAACAGGCAGGAACTGTATGCTAATACCCTCCACACGAAAGACCCTACTGGTACCTGCAAAGACTCCTCAAGGATGGAACTAGAAGTACATGTACATGTATATGCAGAGGAAGATTAGCTGGATATGCTTTAACCAATACTCCCTGGGGTATACAGTATGTAAAATCCCATTAGGACTCAACAACATTAAGGTCAAGAATATGTTGATGCTTGTATCACAACGCATTTAGTGAGTTCATGAAATCCTGCTAGATGCAGCACAGTACATGCACAGCACTCTGTTGCACTTTGCAATCAGTAACAGCCAGACAAACTGCCTTCTTGAAAGTGGTCCCATTGAACAGTTCCACTGTTGGATCTTAGGTGACTGGCAACTGCAGACTCCCAAGCCATTTGGCCATTGTGGATAGCTGACCTGCTGGATCTTGTCATTTAACTGGGAAGGCCAGCCACTCTGACAAATGATGAAAACTGATGTGCCTAGCAGTGTGTCTAGCCTAAATACCCCACAGAGTTAGGCCCCCCCAAAAAAAACAATATCTGCTTCTGGTTTCCCAACAGACCTTAATTTTTTGGTGTAAACCTACAATTTTTATCAGCAACTTACATGACTTAGAAAATCAAATTAAAAAACCTCTCAACAGTTTTTTTTCCACGTCAAAATGTCTGCATTTAAATGTTTGTAACTTTTGAAAGAAAACTTTAAACGAGCCTGCTTTTGCACAATTTCCTGCCATAGCTCAAAGTTTATCGCTTGTTCCTCTAGATGCAGGGCACGTGCTTACCACACGATATCCGGACATTGTTCACCACTTTCCCACCTTGCTAGTGTTGTGCACGGTAGTGTGCACTGTCCATAATTCTTATAAAATTGCCAAATGTAGATATTTTGATATTGAGACAACTTATCACTTTTTTCTGCCAATATTTGGTAAAATGACCACCAAAATAAAAAACAATTCTGACAAACTGGTCAACGCTATTTTTGAGAGGCATTAATCGGAAACAGAAAAAGTTTTCTTGACCTCACAGTTAAAAGTTAGTTCATTTAGCAAAACACTGGGCGAGATCACTGGTTTGAGATGTTCATAACAAATACTGGCATTTGGGGGATGAACATGTATTCCGAGGCAAGTTTTAACTTCATGTACAACAGGGTACTGTACATGTACATATGGATACATGTACATGTTCAGATTCTCTAAAATAAACCATGTTTATCCTAAAGACTCACCGTCCTTGTCTGCTTTTCCAGGGACAACAGACTCTCTATCGCTTCAGACAGCTTGCCATCCTACACATACAAAAACAACATGTGAAAGTTGAACCATGATTGGTCATTGGAATGGAAGCAAAGTTGGGCAATCACAGTGTAGCTTTATCTGTGAGTGACAGGAAAACAAGAGGGAAATGATAGGAGCTGCATAGCGATTGGTCAGGCTGTCATGCAGCTGGCAGTGATTGAGAGTACATGTACATGCTGTTGATTTTCTGTAGTATGGATGGGCAAAATGTAAGAATTTCATCATTTTAATGAGGACATACATGTGGGTTTTAATTCTGATATGGGGGCCAATGTGTATTTCAGGGACATTACAATTATTACGATCATTTAAAACATGACCAGTTTCACTTTCCCATTTAATTTTCATATGTATTTGTCAATTAATGTGTGTTGATTACATTCAGTTCATTAACATTAAAAAATGTTGATTTACACAATAATTGCAAGGGCAAAACCTCATCGTTTCTCTCTGTTTTTTCGGTATTTAGTGTGACATTTTTGATGACCTGTTTCATATGACATTTCATACCACTGGCAAACCAAATAAATTGTTTATTTTCTAACTAACCTATCAACAGAGAGGTAAATTATGATATCGGATAAATCTCCAAATGAAATTTATTTCAATTGAGAATACAGAAGCTGTCATAATCTGATACAACAACGTAACATTTTGTTCCTCCAGTTGTTACGAAGTTAAAATCATTTTTGGCTGTTAAAAACAAACAAAAAGCTGTTGCAAATCATTTCGAAAACCTAAAACATAACTCTAAGTACTCCCCAAAATACCTCCTACTAACTTGTGTCTGAGATCCTAAACATTTCTGAAGATATCCCTGTAAATTCTCGTCAAAAAATATTTTGGTTACTCGCAAAATTGTTACGTTGTAACAACTTCCAACGTTTGCCTGAGTAGGGATCATATTGCATGCCTGCATGCATTGTCACATGATCGTCACATGACACAGACATGCCAAGTTGCCGCCATTTCTTCATCGTCTAGAAATTTTGATGGAAGTTTTCATTACTCACACCAAACCTTTTGACAGGCAGGTTGATGGCTGCATACTGAAGTATCACATTACGTCTTATCTCCTCACCAAAAGAGACAATACAAACGTGATGCTGGATGACTAAAACCACAAAGTATGCAGTCACTGTTGTGGATATAATTGTCTGATTTAATCTTATGAGGGATATGGGAACATTCTGAACAAATTAGCCAGAATACCGCGGTATTGAAATCCAATACCGAATTAGTCAGTATTCCGGTATTCATGGATTGTTAGTCGGTATTGCTCGGTGTTAAAAACAAAACCGCGGTATTCGGTAATACCGAAATACCGCCCAAGCCAAACCACAGCCCAGCAGTCCCGGTCTAAATCCCTTACCCTAACATGTCATGAAGGGGTTAAATGGATGGAAAATGTGGGAGAAAAAAATAATAGGCCTAGTGCATGGAAATTTTTACTCAAGGCCATTTGGGAAAAAGTGTCCCCTTTTATGAGGACATTCTCTGTTTCGAGGGACTGGTGCTGTCCCCGAATAAAGGGAATTCTCCAAATCCAAGGACAGTCCCTAAGTTGTGATCTGTGCATCTACTGCTGGTGGAATAGTCATACATGTACATGATGTAGCATACATTGTAGGAGCACGAAACTTGCAAACTCGACATGCTCGAGGTTACCTTGGGGACGTTGGGCACTTGGCTAGTCTTAATCATGACGTTAAAGTATAACCCACACTTACTGGGTCTGATAAATACCATGAACTGTATGCAGAATGTTGAAAAAATGCTATACAGTTTACAAATGAGCGGGCAATTCAACGTCGGTAATACTGCAACTGGTTAACACAAAATGCCAAGAGTAGGCATAATGACTTGCAGATTTCTATGTCCTCGAAAACGATACTCTGTTGGACGAAGAATAAAGTCTACCCTTGCCAGCCTGGACCAGATAAATTTTAAAACGACCAACCTTTGCAAGCTGCTGACATTCAGGGATTCTCTTGTCGACAGCCTCGCTATAATCAACTTCCATCTTCTGAAGTCTGCCATCTCCTGTTCCTGTGCCGTCCATTTTGCGTTTTGAGCATGCACGCGTCGCGTCGTGGTTCGGTTATTTTACTAATCTCAGTCCGTGGCCAACCTCGACCCCATGCACTGCGTGTGTGTTCCTTAATTTAATGATTTTCCATGGAATGTCCGAAAATAAATCACACCCATGGGAAACGAGGTTGGTACACGACCGCAACAGTACTAGAGTGAGTACAGGTTGCACGACACCAAATACAGGCCCCTTGGAAAACACTGCAAATTTATGTCTATGGCAAAATCGGACAGAAATAACGCCGCCTGTGGATTCTCGTGAAGAGGTTGGCCTCCGTTTTTTGCACTGGAGATTCAAGATTATGGCCAGAAGATCACTTTTCGTTTCAATTTCTTGGGGGGGGGGTGGGCCACGAATTCTTTTTTATTCGCCTTTGAACGAAGATAGGCTACTCTTAAAGTAGCAGTAAAACTAAGCCCTCATTTCTGAACGTAGCCGCCCGCCTCTATCCAAAATAGGCCCGCAATTTGGGGTTTTTGTGAAAGAAATATCCCATGCTGGAAACTATCAGTCCTAAATTGGGGATTTATAGAGATATTTCTGTAAGGAACCATACCGGAGTAAGGGCGCCCATATCCCTGCAATACACGTCATGGAGGTATTAACATAAAGTTCATACTTTTAAGGCGCTTTTTGTGCACGAGGTTTGGTCTCTTGGCTTTGGGGTATCGAACCTAGATTGTAGAATGTGCACGATCTTCTGTAGGAGAAATTGTACGATTTACAGGGCCCAATGTGGTAACTGTTTTCTGTATTACGTGCCATACTTTATTGGTCAGCTAGCCATGTGCCCTGTTAGTATTAGCCTTTGGCCGTCCATTGTAATTTGTATTATTATTTACGGTGCCGTCTAGAACTTACACTGCACGAACTGTTCTCATATTTAATAGATTGTAGTTCTGGTGTTAGACATCATTTTTTGTTCACGTGTTCTCCAAGTGCACGTTCCTCCTCCTACCGTCCAACTCACGTGGGGCTGATCCGCTACATTTCTATGATAACTCTTGATTATGGCCTGTCTTATGGTAAAAATCCCATGGGATCACAAAAAGTAATGACCTCGCGGGCAGAAATACCAAAGCAGAGAAAAGAAAGTGAAAAGTGAAAAGAAATCCCCTTTTAACTATTCAATGAATCCTCTCGTTTCCATTGCTTTGTGACATTGGATGTCATCACAGAAAACATTCCATATGTATAACGCTGCACGCGTATATACACTGGGTGAGCGTATTTGTCACGTCGTTCAATATTAAGTCGCAACTCACCATAAATTTGACTTGTTTTAAACTAGAGCTCTATCAATGGATTTTGACTAAAGATCAAGGACAAAACACGACTAACGACTTATTGTTACGTCTAACGGACCCCAGGCATAGGTATAAATTCAGACCATGCGCATGTATCCTCTTTAGTTCACGCTCTGCCCTTTAAACTTCACGTCAGTCGAAGCTCGCATATATTAAAATTAACAATTCCCGTGACGTCATCGTAGGGGCACAACACTTGTCAATTACTAAATATCATGAACCAGTTTCAATTAAGTTATGCATCTGGACGTTTTTTGTTGTCAGGTTTTATTGAAGTTTTAGTTTAAGGATTTTTTTCCTGGCAATTGTATAATTACATAATAAGCAAACATCAAAGGACACAAATGCATTTTCTAAACACAGATTGGATTTAATTATTTCTTCCTCAATTAGCAGAAAGTAAGGGGGAAATGAAACTTTGACAGGCTAGCGCAAAAATACAGTTATAGTAGCAAGCTAACTTGTGACTTTTAACACGAGATGAACAGTGGAAAAAGGAAGGTGAAAAGTAAAGAAGCGATAGATACCATAGCACCACTGTTCTATACGCCTAATAACAATGAACATTACGCTGGATGCTGTGTGATCTAAACCATGCAGATAGTACACCCTACACAGTACATGTAAAGTGAAAATGGAACACTTGCTGTGGAAACCAGACATGAAACACAAAACGCATTCAAGAGTCCCTCTAACTGAAAACTGGCCCTCATGCAAAAGTGCAAAGCAAATAATTATAACGAATAGTCGTTGGCTCCAACTAGTCGAGCGCAACCAATAAGCTTTTTGCGAGTGAAATTTGTTTCAAATCTGGTACTCTTGAGTTCTTTAATTCACGCGAACACAAAACTTTCAATTCTCCATACTAAAGACACTGTTGCTATACGCCGTGATTGAGGGCAAGCTTTTGCTTTCGAAGGATAAGAAGTGAAAAAATATATGAGTAAAACGATTGCGGATACAATCTCTTTCTTGAGTCTGAGAAGAATCGGGGAATAACTCGACGTTTCGAACAGTGTACTCTGTACGTCTTCACGAGACTGTAGGATTCTGACTTGAAGTAGAGCTTATACATTTTTTACATTAAAAAATTGTTAACCCGGATTCGGATTACAATCAACGGGCAAAATGCGCAACTGCACCAGTAAAATGTCATTATTTTGAACAAACTTAATAACACAGTAGCCTAACTATGTTTACCGAATTCCTTTCAAGTGGGTGACACAGTTTTTTTTGCTGGTATTTTTTACATTGGTAAGCTCCGTGTCGGTGTAGAACGTACTTGACTTGCATTGATTAAAATCAAATGTTGGTTAAGGGTTCAATTGCTTAACGGCACACATGTAGCAGTACTCGAAAGTTGAAAATAAAATGGAAAAATTGAGGAATGCTACTTTAAGAGCTTTAACGAAACTGTGTAAATTTATCCCTTTGTTTTACCTAGAGTTCGTGGAGTTCAAGTTTGTGATCATTGGCAGAATTATCAAAACAAAAAATACTTAAAGCCGCAGGCGTCATCCGACATAGTTCTAATTAAAGTGACGCAGTTGGACAAAATTTCATTCAAGTGTCTGAGTTTTTCAAACTGGCAAGCTAGAGGGATTTCTCCTGGTAGAATAATTTCGACTACAGTAACTTCGGATTGGGCCCAAAATGCTTATAAGGACATGATCTTGGCACATTTTGGCATATTCAGGCTTGGTGTGTACTCTTTCTTCTAGTCCAACCTTTGCTGTTAATACCGTCAGTGCAACATTTTGCAGTCACCACCATCATCATGAATCGATTCATCGTTCTGCTGCTACTTTGCGCCATTGCAGGTGAGTTGATTTCGTGTATTGCCTCTATTGGTATTGTCTCGTGGTTATTCATTCATTGTCTTTTGAATGTTGGCCTTGATCAAAGCTGTGTAATTGATCCCTGAGCGAACGAGCGAGGACGATGTCGTAATTTTCCTTCCATATTCACCTGCACGTACGAAATACATTGTGTAGCCCATACACCTGAAAGGCTGTGGGCCACCCTCCTCGTGGGTACTCCTCGTGAACAGGCGAACCTTCTGTTCGATACATACAATGCCTAAACGATCTGAGACTCAAAACGCCGCAGCGAGCCGGTCACATGAGAGCTTCCTCCCTTTAAAGACGAACCCGGATACAACTGAGGAGAGGATTGGTGTTCTTTTTCTGTTATTGATGTGCATATCATCATAGGCCTACGTAAAACCAAGGCGGCAGTCTACCATATTAGTGACACACCAGGGCAAACCCGAAGACACGTATGCTGCCGGGGATTTTAGTTGCTAAACATTACATTCAGCAATGCCCTCCGCTTATTGGAATAACTCCAAGTTTTATCATAAAAATACATTTCACGGGCCATTAACATTTTCAGTGTAAAAAGTTTAATTTTTAAAAACTGTTTTACAAACCCATTCACCCACCCTCCTGCATTTCTGATTTAAAAAGACCCTGATTTTTCATTCAGAGCTATACAAACCATCTTATGAAATCCATGCCATGGCGACAAAGCATGTTAAATGTCGCCCCACGTTATACAGTGCTGATATAATGCTGTGCCGAAGTTCAGAATGTAAAACTCCTCCCCGCCAGTTCTCGCACTGCAATTTTTGCAAAAGCCTTTGGGTCAGAGAAATTGTTTTGATAAGTTCGCAATATCAATTTCTAGCCACACAATAACGCAGCGGTCCATAACGGGATTTGAGCTACATGGACCAGCCATCGCCCTAGCTCAAGAAACCGGTGACTGTCCTACAAGAATATGGAAATTACCCATGCACATAAAGAGGAACGTAACTTTGAGGGCCCACGAAAAGCCCGCTAAATTTAAAAATGTTGAAACATGGTTCTTTACCTCCCTGCAGTAAATGCAATGTTTTTCAAAATCGCCACTATTTGTCTTCCTTGCTCTCAGTTGCAATTGAAAATTCAGTTATTAATGAAACTGATGCGAGGAACATGGTGTGAAATTTGAAAAGAGTCGGGGAGTTTTTCACACGCAACTAAAATGTCCAGGATCAACAGATTAAACGTGTTGGTCTGGTTTTGAATTCAGTTCACTCGAAATAATTTGTCAGAGGAAAACGGAAACAGTTTCACCAGAATAATAAAATCCTATAGGCCCCCTATCGGGAAAAAGAGAAAATTTGCGATATTTATTTGGTGTCCTGGGTTTGTAATCCAACAAATCAAACATGTTGACCCATTAAATTGATTTGTATGTGACTTTGACCTCTGTTAGTTTGTTTTCTCTCTTATTATTACTTTTTCGGTTGTTTTCTTTATAGTTCAACAAATCAATGGGCACCCAGACGCGGCTGTCAAAGAGGGAGGGAGAGTGTAAGTAAAACTGTCTTGAAGTTTACTTGGAATAATTAGACATTTGTACCGTCACAATACATTTTAATAAGACAACAAACATTGGCTTTATGGATTTAAACAACTATGTACAAGACCGTAATGGGGCTTTGGAATCTAATTATAACCCAAGCAGATTTATTATCCCAAAAATATCGTCTTCAAAAGTATGGTAAATACCGTTTTCTACAATTTGTCAAAATCCACAAAATATTAATAATCATGTTAACTTCAGAGCCTCGCCATTTTGGATGCATTTTCCCTACCCATGTTCTCAGGCCACTGTCAAATGGCTTATTTTTGACTTTATTACTCTACATACATGTACAAGATGATTTCAGCCTGAGCGAAACAAACAGGATCGTCAATTTGGCTGTAGGCCTGTTGCAATTGGTGATCCAGAGGATTTTCGGCAAGAAAAATAGAAAACCGTTGGAAATGTGTTCAATCGTAAATATTTTTGGACAAGTGTAAATTTAAAAAACAAATTACTTCGGTATTTTGGGCAATTGATTTTTCCACTGGGAAGTATACTGAAGAGCGTGTCCTCGCCCTTCACATTGACTTTTCCGGCCTTGACAGGAAGTAAACGTACACTCACTGCTCATTTATGGCAGTTTTGTAATTTAATCCATCTGAAAAATGTTTCAACAAAATGAAGTCTCTCTTGAAAAATTTCTGTTCATATCATATTTTACTAAAAGAAAAAACTTGTGTATTACACCAAAATAGATTGGAGAAAGCAGCCGATATTTACATCTACCGTACTTTGGGCAAACAGATTAAGTTATTTTAATGGTCTAGATTGAAATTCATTGAAACAACTATCCCACAGTGGAGCTAATAACCTCGTTCCTTTGATTTAAACGCATTTCGATGCTGTGCTGCCACCTCATAACCCGAGTGCAATGTAGCATATAAGAAGTCATTGACATGTCATTGTTCAGGCTGGTGTTGGCTGGTATTTTGTCAAAAGTTTAATACATTTTTTTAGTAATGTATGACACTGGTAAACACAACCTGCGATTATAGAGGGTCATATAATGACTATCTTGGACACTTTTTGCAGGTTCCGCGGTCATCCGCACTACTGTGGCGCAACTCTCCAAGAAAAATACCGCGAGATTTGCCAGGCGTTCCGTGGAGTCTCCAACCAAGGTATTGAAGTAAAAAAAAAATTAATTAAAATGCTGTCTCTCACCACTGGCGTAGCTAAGAGGGGCAAAGGTAAACTGTCAACCCCCATGTCAACACTCCTCTTGACCCTCTGAAAGAGCTTGGCTACGCAACTGTGTCTCACTAATCTTTTGTTGAGCAAATACTAAAAAACTAATGCCAAATTAATCCAATTTCAGGATTCCCTCGATGTATGTACCGATATTTCTCCATCGATAGACTGTGCACGTCATGCAGAAGAAGGAGGCTGCAAAGTGACGTTTTGGTCACTGAAAGGGCTGTCTTGTTTCCCTTCGCTCTGTTGTTTTTTGTTTTGTTTTGTTTTTTGGAGAATCGATGTTTTCGACGTAGGGCTCGTCGTGAAACACAAAAAGACAAATCCATTTTTGGTGAAAACAAAATCAACATGTCACTTTTGTTTTCTCGTCACTTGTACTGCAGAGTTTCTGGATTCAAAGGACGCCAACACATTCTTGTTCGGACGTGGCATCGGAAAGCGTAACCTTAACGAGGAATGCTGCTCTGAGGGATGCTCCGATGAGGAAATTTATGAAATCTGCTAAGGGAGACATCCAGGCGGACCCAGCTATCTCCTTGCATCGGCACATTCAGCTTTACAACAAATAACGTTTTCCCTCTCAAATTGGTGGTGGCTTATATAACTGAAATCAAATATAAAATGCTGTTTGATGAGTGGCGTGTCCAGCAGGGGGGGGCAACTTGCTCCCCGACGGATTTTGTTTTTACAAATAATACTTCATAATAGTTAAGTAGGAAAGAAAGTGATATTTCATAAAATATTAGCACCAAAACCATTCTACCTCCATTTTTTGGGAGTCCATTCTGCTGCCAAAGCGCCGTCTCAAAGCAAATTATGTGACTTAAATAGCAATAAAGAATGTGATAAACCCCAAAACCATTTACCGTGCCACATCCCTGCTTATGCATTACATGTATTTGCAATTCCTCTCTTGGGATATATGCCCTAGTTCAAATTATCAAGGCCAACTGTGATGGGCCTATCTTAAGATTATCTCACCCTTTCGGCTATTGGCCCTTTTCTTTCTGTTTTATCTTTATCAACACAACTATGATTTGAATCTGCACGAAAGATTAATAAAAATTTAATTGCAAACAAGTCAAGTTGTAATCTGTGTGATGATTTTAAAACCTTAAAGCTCTCGGACAATGTTGAACTTCAAACTGATATGCAAGATTGTCTGCCGGGGACAACATTTTATTTTCTGCGTTCCATTCTAAACAATTTATAACTAAAGTTGTCAAAGCGTATATATGGAAAAAAGAAAATTAAAGTCCACCATATTTGTATCTGATCAGGTTAATTATAGGTCCACAAAGCTGATTTTTGAGGATGCAACCCCAAATCTTTATTCTTGAACTGCCCGTGTCTCGTGGACAATGATGTGTATTTTTTAGGAGAAAATAAGTGCTTGATGAACTTCTCAACTCCAACTCTCCTCCATGCCCTCTTCATATCATATCGAGGCTCTGGATGACGTTGCCGCCAGTGCCTAGTGTGCGACATAATTCAACGCAAACCGAGTACCGTGACAGGTTCTTCACACCAAGCTTACAGTGTTGATTCGTGGACACCTTTTCTTGGGTTTCTTGAGCGCTAGGCCGGATATACGTGGAACTTTTTACTAACTTGACGTCTTCTTACCACTCCATTCGCGAGACATCATGAGGAAGAAACCTTATTGGATCAGCACTTTATCACTCCATACACATTCGCTAGCTACCACGGAAAACAAAATCGCCTTGTATGACAACGGGTCTCACGGCCCACCAGCAGGGAATCGACCGCTTCTGCTCTACAGTGGGCTCGTGCTGGCGCCCTCAGCCAATATCTCTTGGTGACTTCAGACCAGATAAAGAATAAACACAGTCGATTCACAGTGTAGTGCGCCACCGAAAGGCCTTCTTTGCAGTGCGTTGTAGGGAAAGAGTCGACAAAGTTATATTCGCCATCTGCGCTGAGCGCGGGGAACTTGAATTGTTCCCGGTGTTTGCTTGTCTGGTCAGAATATTCGGGAGTATTTGCAATTAATCAAGATGGCGGTTTTGCGGGGTAATAAATGCCACTGTAAGTCAAACATTTCCTTAAATTGTCTAGTGGAATTCGCCGAAATGCAAATTGCAGCTTATCGACCATATTTTGTCGACCATTAACTTCAATGTCCTCTTTGTGGAAACCTCTTGGTGGCACATTGTATTATGAATCGCCTGTATAGAGATCGTAATAAAGCTAGAGATGTCGGACCTATTCTTTTAGTACGCTATAAGCAAACCTGGTCTCAGAAGAAGGCGACATCTTATTAGATAACGCAGTTTGTTAACTCCCACTCGCTTTGCGCTCAGGTGGTTCAGTCTGTAGTCTTCTACGCTCATGCATGAAGCTTTTTTTGTATTTCGGACATTATTTATTCAGATGAGTGTCACGTCACGTCTCATCAGTGCACTCTGTGTGTCAATTGTATAATACATTTTTTTAAGCAATGTATGACTTTACTAAGCACAACCTGTAATTTATAGAAGGCGATAATACGGCTAATCTAATAACGTGTTTTATGCTGGGTTCGCTATTCGCACTACTGTGTGTAACACTTCAAGAAAAATACCGCGAGATTTGGCATGCGTTCCGTGGAGTCTCCGACCGATTTAGTGCGTCATGGACAAACGGCGCTGTATTTTGACTTTTTCTTTTTCCACGAAGAGACGAAATTCGAGTGTAACGGGTATGGGCAATTTGCCAAAGCGAGACAACACGCACGTTGGAGTTTGATCTTTCAAATACTGAAGAATTCAGTGTACTATGGATAATAGGCAAATTGCCCCGCAAAACAACGTGCTGGTGGGCTTTTGAGTTTTCTCTAACAATTAAATTTGGGGTGTTAAGGATATCAGCAAATTGCATAAGCGAAACAACACTAGCACTGGCTTTTGATCTTCAGGAACAAACGGATTTTGTGTGTTACAGTTAATGTAAGCAAATTGCCCCGGCAAAGCAACGCACATGGGAAAGTAGGATTCTGTGTTTTTACATCACGAACAGACAATTTCCATGGACATTAATCCGTAATTAATTGTTCTATCATTCTGTAATTGGTACATTTGTGAAGTTGGAGATCTCAGCTTACTATCTGTATCAAAAAGTATTCAACATGCTCTAAAATAGTCAAAATCTTTTCATTTCAGAGTCGATTTTCTCATAATCACTGTTCACCTCCCATTGGTCAAATTCCATCTCTTTGTGAAACCTCTGCTGATATACTTCACCCATCGTGTGTAATCTCTGTTGGCCTGTTGACTTGAAAAAGTATGTTTAATAGTACTTTCCTCAAGTCTATCTAGAAGTGCGTCCCAGAAATAGTTAACAAAAAATGAACATAAATGTCAACTGACGTTACTGTTTACATTTTTTAATATTGATATTTTTGATATCTTAACTTAGGTGATTCTGGTCAACATTAGATGTGTCCCTAAAATTGAAACTCTGACACCGCTATGCACTGAAACGTGCTGAATGCAAACAGCTGTTTTACTATATCAAGTATACTGATCCCACTAGTGCCTTTGACTGGTACTAATTAACCAAGGGCGGCTCACTTGTCTCTGTTTGCTAGCTATAGGTCGCTGAATTGGTCAGTTCCTATCTTACTTTAGCAATTAGTTGCAGATCTGAAACTGCGATAATTACCAACGTTAAATAGTACGGTTAAAAATACCAGCAAAAGAAAGAAGTCATTACTTCCCTTCCATTACTTCCCAGCTTTTAATAACACGTGTATTTCAACGCTCAGGTTGTACTCCGATGGCAGGTAATTATTGGCTCATAAATTTGCATTAAAAGTTTCTCAATGCAGAAGCTTTTGGGAGTGTCTTCGTTGATTAATTTCCCTTTTTTGGTTGGCATCATGAAGGATTACCACTTCATGTCAACTTAACCTCAAACCATGACGATACGCCTGAGCAGATACCGCCCCAGAACTAGTTTCAGCAAAAAAAAAAAAGCAGCATGTACGTGTGCAGCCATCTGTCCATTGTGAATAGCATAGCTATTACGGTATTGTTCATCGCCTTTCCTCCTTTTCCCTCCCCCTTCATGGTTTAAGTTGGGTGGTTGAACATGTCTGTACACTATAATGCTTGCGTACAACTTAACATGCAGAGTATGACTATGCTTCTAGTGTCGAGCACGTTGGACTGACTTCAAACTCTAGCGTTCATGGGGCAACAAAATGATCGGGATATACGGGAGGTGGTACTTTTTGTGTTCATGGATACAAAGATATATATTGCGCCTTGAAACAAAACTCACAAGCGTCGTAAATCAGAAATATCAAGTAATGGCAATGATTTCTTCTGAAAACAAGCGCATGGAATACCATTTGCTATGGAGGCACTAGTAGACTAACAAGTGTGATACTTACTAGTATCAGCGCGATTGAAAAAATACCATCAAAAGAACTAGTCAGTTTTGGCCGAAATCATTTCAAACCTTGCCAAATTTTACAATTGAAATAGCAGTGTTCAATATGAAAGATTACACCTCTGGCAGGTAATAATTGTTCATTGCACTTACGATTAACAGTTTTTAAAAAGAAGTTGTGAGGAATGAGATTGTTAATTGATTTCATTCATAAGATTTCTTACTCATAGTGTTACCATTTTCAGAGAATGTCAAGTCAAATTAACTTTGAACTATAGAACACTAGGCCGAAGGGTTCCTCAGAGAACAAGTTTGTAAACTTCCTGTACCTCGTTGGGAGGCTAATCGAGTATCCACCAAAAATAGTTAAAACATTTTGTATTTATTTTATCATACCTCGAAGCCTATGGGAAAAGCAGCATGTACGTGTGTAGCTATCTGTTCTTTATGTTGCAGCGTAGCTATGGGGCGTCATTTTTCACACCCTTCCTTCCCTTTTCCTCTGGTAGCGGGTCGTGGGAATGGCTACTCGCTGGGGCCCCCTCACCTGATAAAGACACACATTTTCGTGGATGTCAATATTCATCTCCGGTACAGTGTCTTAAAGAATAATGTATGAATAAAAAACTTGAAATGTGTTGTGCATTGTATAACGAAACATGGAAATCGTGGATTCTCGACAAAATTGCTGTGTGCGTTTGAAACTAAATATAATGTTTTTAATCAAAACTAACACCAACTTGATACTATCAAAATTATCAAATGTAACAAAATGTACAACTCAACATCACACTTCCACTGAAGTTAAGACAAAAAGTGGAACCCTCTTATGATACATTTTCAAGAATAATGAAGAAGTTGCTTTCCACTGGATCACGCACAAGACTTGGCGGTGACTATACAATTCACTGTTTGGCATATCATGCAGCAAGCAAATGTTGGTCAAACCGCTCGTAACAGAAGCATTTTTCAATTCGATTTGGCGGTTGGATGAAAATTAATCCGGTTAAGCTCAGCAGCGACAGTTAATGAGGGCGTGGATGGGGGGGTCAAACCCTCGTCCCTCTGATAAAAAAAACACACAAAAAAAAGTGAGAGGAAAAGAAAATTGTAAAAAATAAATAAAGTGTACAAAGGTAATTGCACCGTAACCAATGCATGTCATGTAATTTTCATTATCATTTCCGTTTATCGACAAAAATGAGATATTAAGAAAATCTTCGGCCTGAACACCCCTCCTTGAAAAAATCCCGGATCCGCCCCTGTAATTAATCAGTAAACTTCTCAGGGTCTTCACCGGCCTTCACGCGGACGAAAATCAGTATTAGGGCTACGTGCGCAGCGACGATAGTAGCATCCCTGTGCTGTGCGTGTGTATTAGCGTGTTGTGACATGATTGTCAGCAAGCTTAAACAAAAAACCAAAAAACAAACTTTATGTTTGTTTTAACAGAGTGCTGTTTGCTCTAATTGCTTTCACCACAAAATGCACGTGTTCGATGTAATGCTTACTCCCAGGTTATTTTGACTCTTGACACACGCGAGTTGCAGTGGCGTTTTTACACGGGGGGCAGTACGAGAAATGTGCACTTTTGGGGAAATTCGTGGCGCACAGAACCCCTCTCCATTTTGAAATTTGAAATGTACACACTCTACGTAAAAATGACAGTAAGTCCCCCCTAAAAT